GGAAGGGTGCCCGGAGGGCGGGGAACGGGCGGCAGGCGCGGGGGTGGCAGCAGAGGGGTGCGCCCTGCCACCCCCGTCGCTTTGACATCCCGGGCCACTGAGCACCAAGCCCGCAATCCAAGATGGGGAGGCCAGGCAGGTGTGCTGCAGGGCAGCCGGTGGGAGCCGATCCCACCTCGCCCCCGAAATCGGGCCTTGCCAAGAAGGGCTCGCTGTGCAGGGAGGCCTGAGCAGCTGCCCTTGTCCTCAAAACAAGAGCCAGGAAAGAATCTGGAAACGGGCCACGAAGGGCCACAGGGTGCCTCGGTGGGACTGCTGCCCAACTGCCCCTCCGAAGGCAACGAAACCTCCCGCCAACGCTGAAGGGTGGGGAAGGCGCTGCAGCCACTTTCTGGGCAGGGCAACCTTCCCCGGCCAGGTGCTGCCACCCTCGTGAATGGCGCACGGAACCAGGTGGAGACAGGCCGGGGCTCCCGAGAGCCAGCGGCTGGGTGCCCACGGCGGGTTGTCATGTCATGAGCCCCACCAGGCCGGTTCCCGCCAAGCAGCTTGTTTGGAATGACCCGTGACTTGTCCCAGGGGATGCCGTGCCCATGGGGGCTGCCGGGCCCCGAGACCCGGGCAACAACCCACCCAGGGTGCAGAGAAGCAGGGAACCGGGTGGCGTTGCCGTCAGCACCTCTTCCCGGAGAAGTCTCGCCACCCTCTGTGGAGAGGAAGCGACGGGAGCGGCCCACACCGTCTGCCCTGCTCCAGCTCAAACTGAGGAGCTCGCTTCCACAGTGGCCACCGATCTGGACCAGGCAAGTTCATGGAGACGCCTTTGCGACTGCAAGCTCCGAGGTCCTGCATCGTGGCCAGTGGCAGCGGCACTCCGCCCTGCCCTGCCGTGGCTTGGAACCGGGCAGGAGGGGCTGCAGCCTCCAGCTGAGGGGCTGCCTGCGGGCAGCTGGGTAGTCACCACGTGAGCAGAGGACTGGCTGGGCCCAGCCGCAGGGCCCACATGCGGATCCGCTGCACAGGGCAGATGAGGCAGCGGGCGGGGGGCTGCTCTCCTGGCAAGAGGCAGAGCGAGGTCGGGCCGGCGCATGTGCCGGAGACCAAGGAGGAATCGCGTGCTCCAGGAAAGAGTGCTGCTTAATCCAACGGCAGCTCCGGGGAGGATGTCTGTCAGCTGTGGGGAATGGAGGCTTCCTTCAGGGCCCTCTGCCTGTGGGCACAGCAGGCACAGGCACCCTGTGGACGGGGAGGAGGGCTTCCCCCCACCTGCCCCCACCGGGAGCATCTGGCCAGGCGTGGCTGCAGTCCATACACCTTTGCTCTGACTTTGCAGAGCACCCGCCCTCCCCCCCAGGCCAAGCAGCGGCCTTTGCAAGGCGGGCTGGCCAGGCTGGGGCAGCCACTCCCCCGAACGGCCAGCAGGGGCCTCAGTGCTGCCTCCTGGAGGCCATTTGTTGTCTGACCCCAGCCAGACACGCAGCCAAGCCAGGAGCACGGCAACTGGGATGGGAAGGACTTGCGCCTGACCAGCTGGAAGGCCCACAAAACACAGCCCCCCCCCCGTTCCTGGAAAGAGCAGGCGGGTGCCTCTGGAGACTGCTCTGCAGTCCTGCACAGGAGGTCAACCCTTCTGGCCAAGGGAAGCCCTTCCAAACAACACGCCCTTCCAAGCAGGCCCAGCCCTCCTCCCCCTGCCCCCCGTCATATAAATCGGTTCACTCGTGGAAGTTTTGCACAGGAGAGGCCAAGGCTACTGGCTGCACGTGGCCCTAAGGCGTGCTGCGACTGCTCGTGGGTGTGCATGTTCCAGCGCATGGCTTTCTTTTGCTTGCCATGGCTAAAATAAAAGGACCGTGCAGGGTTGGAAATTTAATAGACCTTTTAAAGCACAGTACAGCACAAGGTGACCCTTTCCCGCAGGGGAGTCCTCGTCAAGCACAAGAGGTGCCTTCCTGGAGGAAGCAGAGGCTGTGACATGGTCCCACCATGCCTGGCAGTACAAAGCACACAGTCCTGGATCGCAGGAGGAGAACAAGGCGAGCACCGCGCAGGCCGGCCCTTGAAGCGACACATTACAGAAGAGGCAGTGAACCGCACCAGGAAGGGCTGGCAAGGACAGCACTGCAACCTGGCAGTCCCCGAACACAGAGGGATGCCGGTTATGTTCCTGCAAAGAGGCCTCGAGATGCTTTGCTCGCCTCTGGCCCTCTTGGAAGCCAGCGCAGGCGTCCACCTTCCCTCTGCAGGCGAAACATGGACCTGAATCTTGAAAATGCAAGACAGCTTTGGCTGCCTTTCAGTCTCCCAGGCAGGCACTGTAGCAAATTTGCCATTTTTCCTCTGCCCAGCAGGTGTGGGGACCGAGCAGACTCTCGCAGGTCAAGCGGAAGCGTACATGGACGAGCGCATGTGTGCCACTCCATCGTGAAGCAGACAGCGGGACGTTACTAAAAGGAAGACGCATCGCAACACGTGGCGTGAGCAGGAACTGCACCTTGTGGGAGAAACGGACGCTATTTTGCTGCTCCCAGCAGCCTCCACACCAACATTCAGCACGGAGCAGGCAGCGGCGCCAGGGACGGCTCCGCTTCGGCAGGCGGGTGGCCACGGGGCGGGCCGAGGGCGTCAGTGAGCGGGGAGAGGAGCCCCTGCACAGGCGGCGAAGGCAGAGCGGGGTGGGCCTGCCAGCAGCACCCCTGCCCGACACCCTCCACCAGCCCACAGGCAGCGGGGAAGGAAGAGGCAAGCGGTGGGGCTGGGCCGGCAGGCACCGTCTCTCTCGACAGCTGCATCATCAGCCCACGCGGGGAAGCAAGCACCTGGGCAGCGGGCTGGGGGTTTCAGGCCCCCAGGGCTGCCGAGGGGGGCGGGGGACAGCAGGGCTGAGCATGCCGAGGGGGAAAGGCCTGGGGCGCGAGGGCCTGTGGGTGAGCGCAGGGGCAGCCTCCGGACCGGAGCTGGGAAGGGCTGCAGCTCAGAGCTGGAGCCGGGTGTGGGGCCAGCTGCTTCCCCAGGCGGGGAGCCTCGTCTCTTAGCGGATCAACCCGCTGCAAAGGAACCGCTCGCAGCAGGAGCAGGGGCAGCCCCGGGAGCAGGGACCCTGCTGGTCCCCAAGGAGGCCACACAGATCCTCCCAAAGCAGTCCTGCAGAAGCCGTAACCCCCTCCCCCCCCCAGTCCCCGTGGCCCCAGGCTCTGCTGCGCCCTCCCTCCCGCCTCAGCTCGTGACGTGGCCGGGACGGCATTCGGCCACGCCAGGCCGAGGCAGAGGCATCTGGGGTGTCCCAAGCAAAACTGTTGGCCTCAGGACCAGGACAGCATCCGTGCAAAGCGGGTGGAGGCGGGAGGAGAGGGCCGTGGGGAGGACGGGGGCGGCGTTGGCGGGCAGTGTGGGGGCAGCCCTGACGCTTGGGGCTTCCGCAGCAGGGCTCACGAGCACATCATGGAGCCTCGCAAGACCACCAGGAGCGCCTCGTGGCCCCGACGCCCAGCAACCTGTTCCGACACCGGCCAGGCGAGGAGGCCCACCTGGAGGAGCAGAGTGCCCAGCAGCCCCCTGCCCTGCCCCCAGTCACATGCTGCCTCTGCCGCCACAGGCAGCACCCAGCCCTCAGGATGAGCAGCCATGGGACCCCCCCCCCCCCGGAGTTTCCCCTCCTCCAGGAGTTTCCCTGATCCTCCTTTAAGGCTCTCCCAGTAGATGGCTGCCAAGACATCTCACAGAACTAAATCTATGCCTTAAGCATAAACAGAGCGAGTCAGAAGGGGCCTCCTGGGCCATCTAGTCTGACCCCCCGGCACAAGCTGGCTCCACTCATGACATCCCTACCATGTGCACGTCCAGCCTATCCTTGAACACCCTCACCGACGGGGCCTCAACCACCTCCGTGGAAGCCCATTCCATATCATAGGGGTCCTAACCATCAGGAAGGACTTTGTGACATCCAACCTGAAGCTCTGTTCCTTTAGCTTTGCCTCACTGGATCACGTCATTCCCTCCACCACAGGGGAGAACAGGTCACAACCCTCTACCTTGTGACAGCCCTTCACATACCTGTAAGCCACTATAAGAGCCCCTCAGAGTCTCCTCCAAGTGGAAACGTCCCAATTCTTGTGACCCTGCGCTGAACCGATTCCAGCCTTGCTGTGTCCCTCTTGAAATGGGGAGTGCAGAATTGGATGCAGTGCGCCAGTTCATGTACGCAACACCAGCACCTCTCGATCTGGAAGCCACAGCTCTGGCTGTACACCCAAGGGTGGCGCTTGCCCTCTTGGCCACCGCATCACATGGCTGGCTCACGTTCAGCCTGCAGTCGACCAGCACCCTGAGGTCCCTTTCACAAGTGCTGCTCTCTGGCCACTTGTCCCCCTCCCTGTACCTTTGGCACTTATTCCTGATTCCCAAGTGCAAGACTTTGGACTTCTCCGCATTGAACGCCACCCAGTTGCCCCCCGCCCACTTCCAGTCTGTCCAGATCCTTTTAGATCCAGACTGCCTGCTGCTCCGTCATGGCCACTGCCCCCACTTTGGTACAGTCTGCAAATCTGGTCAGCATGCACTGCCTTAATTTCCCAGCAATCACCTTCAGGGAGAAATACTTCTGGGTTCTAGGAAGCAGAGTGTCTCCCCCTCAAATTTCTCCACACCATGCCTAATTTTGAACCTGTCCATATCTCCCTTACCTGTCCTTTTTCTAAGTTAAATAATCCCTAGTTGTAACCGAGGAGCAGTTTGTTTGCCTTTCTCTACACTTTCCCCAAGTCTATAATGTCATTTTTCAGGTGTCCCACCAGAACTGTGCACAGTATTCCAAGGTTGGTGGCACAAGAAGAGTATGATCTTGTCAGTTACCGCTTTCCTAATTACACCGAGCACAAAGTTTGCCTTTTGCACAGCAGCTGCACACTGTCGGGTGACATTTCCATTAAGCTATCACCACCCAAGATCCCTTTTCTTGCTCAGTCACTGCTAGCCCAGATCCCTTCAATGTATACTTGACGTTTGGATTTTTACTTTTATTTTGCCCCAAGATGCATTATTTTACACTTGCTTCCATCGAACTGCATTTACAGTGAGATGTCGATTCACACAACTCCAAGGGATCCTTTTGGAGCTCTTTGCAACCCCTTTGTGTTTTAACCACCCTAAATAATTTGGTGTCATTTCCCGATTCCAAATCAGTTATGCCTGTTTTTTTCCTCTTAAGGACAGAAATGGCCCTCCACCTCAAAAAAACAATCCAACTGAATGCACAGGTTGTAGCCTAACCTTAACCCTGGAAAAAAATCAAGCCAGCTACATTCAATTTACACAAATTTTTAAAAAGTTGATAGGAAATGAGAAGCGCTTTCTGTTCCTAGCCCTGTGAGTTGTTTAGCTTTCTCTCTTCTAGGGACAGCGAGGCCCAAAGCCCGCCAAACACAGCGAGGCTCGTTACCTTTGGCGAACACGATGCCTTCCCCTCCGAAATCGCCTCACAAGGGGCCGATTTCTTTTTCCAGCTCAAGTAAACTGCGACCTGCACAATCTCCGCAGAACACCCGCAATACTTCCCCGCCCCCTCGGCCACCCCAAGACCCGACAGCCTCCCTGCGATTCCAGCCGCCTCCTTCGACGCGAGCACCGCCCGAGCGGCGAGTCCAAGCACGGGGCCCAGCGGTAAGGCCCCCGGCAACCACACCTGAGCAGAGCCGGCAGCCTCGGCGCGCTACCCGGAGACCCACGCACAGCGCGCGCGCCTCCCGACCAGGCCCGCCCGCCCCCGGCCCCGGCGAGGGGGCCCTGCTGTCCAGCGCGCCCCGCCCGCGCTCGCTGGCGGGCTGGCGGGCGGGCGGGCTCGGGGCCGGGCTGCGGGCGAGGCGGCCCGAAGCGCCGCTGCGGACACCTGGACGCGGGCCGCGCGACTTCAACGGAGCAGGCACCACTTCCGCCCTCCCCATGTGACCCGACACGTCACACGTTCGGCCCCAGCACGCCGAGTCCTCCGCGGAGGACCCAGGGAAATTAGTCCTTCCGGCCGGGCGGCACCGCCTCCTCGTGCACCACCGCGCGCGGTCCCGGATCCGCTGTTACCGCCAGGAAATAGTTCCGGCACGAACGATGACAGCGGTGGAGAGGCTGGCCGCAGAATTCCTCCGCCAGGTGAGGGAGGTGGCAATGGCGACCGCGCGGGTGCCGGACCGGAGGGAGCGGCAGGCGACAGAACTGGAGGCGGCCGCAGGCGGACCCGCTCGCGGTGAGAAAGCCGTGGAGGAGCCGAGAGCCCTTCCGCGCCCGTCCCCGCCGCCGCCGCCGCCGCCGAGGCGCCGGGCAAAATGGCGGCGGCCAAGCGGGGGCTCAGGCAGCGCCAAGGGCAGCCCGCCTCGGAC